TCGCTCCCTGTCCCCCGCCCCGCTCCTGCCTCGGGCTCCTCTCACCCTCAGTCTCTCCCTGCAGGCGCTACTTCGTAGATCTGACCAGCATGAAGGAGCACTTCAGGTCCAAGGTGCACAAGAAAAGGTAAGTGTGTGGGGGGGCTTCTGTGGCACTGTGAGCCGCCCGTGTGGGTCCTCGTGCCATCCCCGGAGCTGCGCCTGTAGCCACAGGGCTCTGCCCTGTCTCCAGCTTTGGCAGGCTGAGGCTGGTGGTGTCAGTTCTGGGCCAGTTTGTACAGGAGTTTGGCTTGTTTTAAGGAGATTCGGGTGAACATCAGAACTCACATGGGTGGTTTAACAGTCATTTCTGCCTTCTTTTCAGGTTGAAACAGCTGAGCGAGGAGCCGTACACGCAGGAGGAGGCAGAGAGAGCGGCTGGGGGGGGGTCCTACATCCCCCCAAAAAAGGTAGAAGTACATACCCAACCGATCGATGAAGAAATCGAGATGGAGGCGTCCAGCTGAGTGCAGCGGAATAGAGGGCCAGGGCTGCCCTTATTACAGTGCTGCAAAAAAGGTGTTTTGTTACTGAGCCCTGTGAGGAAAACGAGCTCTCTTCCAGCCTCCCAGCAACGAAGCAACAGTTTTCCTGGCAGCTTTCCTTGCTGAAGAGCTAATGAGGAGAAGGCAGCCAGAGAGACCTTGGATGCCCTCGTTGGGGAGGGCGCTTGTGCACTATGTGCCTGACAGCAGACTGTGTTCCCCTTCCTGGGGAAGGGACAAGCAGCAGCTTGGTATAAATGTTATATGGCTGTGCACTCATCTCTCTGGTTTTAGAGCAATTTTAGATACTTCTCCTTGGGTTAGAGGTTGACACCTCTAAGTCACCCATTAAAGTATGTTAATCAACAGGCTGGCAGTGTTGAATGCAGAATTCTTTGCTAGTGTGGTCCAGGCTCTGGCTTGGAGCAGTGCTGAGGTAGTGGGGACAGCTGCCCTTCTGGATTGAGGGTAGTCTCTCGATTTTAAACTTTTCCTGAACCTTGGAAGTGAAATATTCCCAGAGTGCCTATCAGTTTGTAGGAATGGCCTCGTCACAGTTCTCCTGCCCTGACAGGAAGGTAAAGCTCCCTCTGGTTTGTCTTCCGGTGAGGGGGATCCTAACGCGTTGGTGGAAGGTGCAGCACAGGAGCTTCTTTTGGGGGACTGTGTGCTGGAAGGAACTGCTCTTCAAGCCCTTGGGTCTATCGCAAGCAGCTTTTTGTGTTTCTGGCCCTGCCTGATTTGAGCTCCCAGAGTGGGCCCTGATCCCCTGTGCGCTTTGAGGGGCAGGCGCTAATGTGTTCCCAGCAGGGACACTTCCGGGCTTCTGCCCGCTAAAACGCAGTGCCTGGTGAGTGGTTTCATACCCCCAGAGAGCAGCGGCATGGGGCCGCGCACCCAGTGTGATCCAGTGCCTACCGCGTATCCCCCAGCCCAGTGCTGTTCTGTTCCTGTGCAGGGATCCTGCTTCAGCCGCCCAGGCTGTCGGGTGCTCCCGCCCCTGCTAGGGCAGCGCCTCCCTGCTCGGCCTCTCTCTGCTATGCGACTCCAATGTTTGCAACGCTTCCGTGTTGCAATGGCACTGACTGCCGTAAATTCCTGCAGAACAGGTTTGACTGATACAACTGTGGCACTAAAACAACAGATGAAAGGTTTGTCCCCCCTGCTGAGCCACAGGAGGAGGGAGTGCTCAGCTGTAGCAGCAGAAAGGCAGCGAGACAGTGCAGCTTTGCTCAGAAGGAAAAGATTTATTTGCATGCAGACTGACCAGATTTCTTCCCCCCAGGGTTATCGAGGCAATTAAACCTAGTTCTCTAGTTGGTATCTAAACACTCTCTGCTAGGGGCAGCTTTGCTCCATGCAGCAGCTCGGAGCAGTGTGGGGTTTGGTGTGCAAGAGGGAGAGGTGGGAAGGTCCTGGTGGGGAGATGGGGCATCTGCCCCCTGCTCGCAGGCAGCAATTCTCCGATAGGAGCCAACCCTGTGTCCTCGTTTCCGCTCCCAGCCTCTTGCTCGGAGCCAACCCTGTGTCCTCGTTTCCGCTTCCAGCCTCTTGCTCGGAGGCTGATCTTGGTCCCAGCCCTCCCAGCTCTGTTGTTATCTAACAGCGCTTTGCGCTGACCTCTTTTCTGCCGGCTGGTGACGTGGGGCTGCTGGCTGAGCCGCCCGGGGAGGGAGGAGCGGCTGTTAATTGGAGCTGGCCTGACTGCAGAGGCAGCACGTTCCCCTGCGCCGGTTCGGGGAGGGAGCCCTGCGCGGCTGCCAGCGAGGCGCAAGGGCTGCGTGGGCCCCTCTCCCGGGAGCAGGGTGGGGAGAGGGGGGCCAATGCCTCACCCAGGCCCTCCTTTCCATGCGTCTCTGTTCACTGAGGCTCGGTTGTCTCATGGTGGCAGGATCCTGGCTTCTCGGCAGCGGCTCAGTTTAGGGCTCAGCTTGCCACTGCCTGAAATTGGGTCCCTGGGCTGCGCCTGGCAGCTCTTGAGCTGGAAGGTGACCCTGGCTGCCAGCTCGCAGCGTCGGTTTGTGTTGTTGGGGAATCGGAGTCAGAATCGGGTTGGCTTTTCCATCCTTTGTCCTAGCTCCCAAAAGGGGGACAAACGTGTCCCCTCAGCTCCAGGGCAACAAAAGGCCAAGGCAGGGAGGGGAAGGGCAGGATGCAGCGTAAGCGGGCTACGAAGGGGCTATGAGGCGAGAGTGAGTCAGGAGACGCATCCGGCAGCTCCCCGTAGCCAGGGCTTGGTGAGCGGAGCGGGTCCGGCAGCTCCCGTGCCACCAGCTTGGGGCTCGGCTGGAGAGAGCGGGGAGGGGTGCGATGTCGCTGGAGCCCGGGACTGTTCCCTGGGCCAGG